AGGAATTATGTAAATTCAGTTTTTGCACTGTAGCAGATACAAACGCCTTCCACTAACACCAGCATTGTTGTGGTTGGTGGAATAAAAAACTCTAGAATCCCATTTGCATACTTTAGACCATAAGGCAGAATAGTCTCAAGACTATCTACATTGCCCCACAGCAATCAGGTGTTCCACATGCAACACAAGCGAGTGGACGAAAGAAACTAGTTGCTTCGTGGTATCAGGTCGGTCATAGAATGGCAGAGGTCTTACAGACAGTTACAGGCAGCTGCACATCCTGTCTCATGGATAGCAACAGGCAGCTGCTGATCCTGGCTCACAGTAAAGTATCGAGGATTCCGCAGCACTACGCTCATCCTTCTTGGCAGATCAGTCGATGCCACACAAGCAGCTAAATCCTTGTTCCATCTACTCCAAAAGGGAAGGGAACACCTGTCATCTGCTCACAAAGATGTTCAATGCTACTGAACAGCTTTGTGTGCAACAAGCATTTCAGAATTGGTCATTATTATCCCCAAGAAACCCGTGTAGTGAAACGTACGGATGTTGGCAACGCCAACCTCTACGATGTTAGTAGACTAGCTTGACAGCCAAATCTAATACTCTAATCTCAAGAACCTGAATAAATCAGCAAGTAAGGAGTCTATTTCTTTTATTATCTTTACTAGCTGCCTACTTGTTCCATGTGCATAACTGAGAATGCTTTAAAGCTAGGAGAATATCATGACAATCAGGTAAGGAGCATTTTTAAAAGGCAGCTATCAATTACAGGCTCCATATGGCTCTTGGCACCAGTTTTCTTAAACAGTTATCTGGCTGGAAGGTTACTGCATTATCCCAAGCAATGCTCAAAAAGCTCCTGTGGCTTGCAACCTTCCAGATTGCCCCAAGCCATGTCTAAAAAGGTTTCAACCACCAGGCTTTGCACCTCCACACATACAGACTATGAACCAATTTATCCCCAAGACACAATACACAAGGGAAACCAATCCACACTAAACCAAATACCCACTGCCTCATGCTTTTAACTGCAAAGCTCTACATACACCAATCACTCAGAACATTTTGACCACTGAGAGGTGAAGTGAATAACATAGATTATCTGGAAAAAATGGCACCTGGAAATGGGTGGGATATATTGGGCAGCAAGTGAATATTTTGCCCCTGAAGCTGATGTGCTGGAAGCAGAAAAAAAAAAAAAATAGGCAAGCGTAAGGATTTGAGCGACTTTGACAAATTGTGATGGCTAGACGACTGGGTCAGAGCAACTCTGCAGCTCTTGTGGGATGTTCCTGGTCTGCAGTGGTCAGGACTTGCAAAAAAGTGGTCCAAGGAAGAAAAACTAGTAAACCAGCAAAAAGGGTCATGTGTGGGCAAGGCTCCTTGATGCACATGGGGAGCAAAGGAGGCCCCACCTCGCAACTTACAGGACTTAGGGCCTGGTTCACACCTAAGCTGCATCATTTTTGTGCGCCTGTACGCGCATGTTCAGCAAAACTGTTATTTGCACATTTATGTGCGCTATGCGCATTTTGATACACGTTTGTACGCGCATACATGAAGACGCGCATTTTGACTGGCAGCTTAAGAAACATTGCGGGCAATGGACAAAAATACACCTGGAAATGTGCAACATGCTTCTGCCGCACGTTTTCGGGCATTTCCATTGAAGTCTACGGGGCAAAAAATGCTCTGTTAACTGCCCAAGGAAGCTCATGTACCTTTTCAGGCGTTTTCCTGCTTAGGTGTGAACAGGAGCAATCAAAAATCATGGGATATCTTGTGTTGGGCGTTTATAATGCTTTTTCCAACTGCTCAAAAACACCTAGGTCTGCTACTGACGACTTGGTGCCAGATACCGCAGCATAACTTCAGGAGGTCTAGTGGAGTCCGTTTCTCGATGGGACAGCCTCAGGTGCTGTATTGGCGGCAAAAAAAAAAAGGGACCTTCTCAATATTAGGTAGGTGGTCATAATGT